TTAAAGTTCCGTTCAACATGTAGCAGGTTTTTCCGTTCAGTGCGGTAGCTTAAATGCCTAGGATATCGCGGAATAATGTCTGAGAGGAGAGATGCCGCGACGCTACGAGAATACGTCATGTTTGCGTGTCTGCGCCCTCTTAGAGAACAGAAATTTGAAAAGACGTGCCAAGACCGACAAACATGACGTCGTGTCACGTCTTGCTGCCTTTACATTGATTTTGTACATACTATGACTGAATTATTCAAATTATTTTTTTACTTTAGTGACGTAGTCCATTATTTGAAAAATGTTTCATTATTCAGTTGTTATGGGTAGGTGCCTTTCCAAGAAATATTTGGATGACGCTGTAAACATTGTGATGTTGGAAAGAATGTCTGAGTAACCGGTCAACTGATGACTTCTTGGAATAATTCACCATTACTATGCAGAGAAAAATTGGATTATATGTTACAATGGCGCATGCTAATGCGCAATAGCACTTCCTGGGCAGTGTTTTCTTCAACATGGAAATTGAGATTATTGTTGTAAATGCATGTTTTCTCCTGCTTAGGGAACTTCTGCGGGGAAGGCGGAGTAGGAGCAAGTGGCACGAGTAACACACACGCGACCGGTCAGGGGATCAAATTCGAGTCGCCTCTCGGTCAGGCTAACCAAGCAAAGAAAATCATTGAAATGAAAATCAATGGACTATGTTGAAGAATCGAATAAATGAGAGTTATTGGGAGGGTGGCGAGGGGAGTGGGTGGGATCAAAAGAGATAGCCCTGCTCCCTTTTCGCGCGTGAAAGCCTTCCCTCCTCATGGGACGGTGAATTGGTACCAGATTCGTCTGGGAGGATAAAACACTGACTTGTACATCGGCTGGCCTTGCAAGTCATTGTATAAGGCCACATCGCATTCAATAAGCCACTACGATTCTGAATGCGAGCCTAGCGGCGAAGGCTTTATCCTTTTGGATCCCTAGGGGGAACTCTGCCTGTGCCTTTTCCTGACTCTTTGATCTTGATGATCCACTTTCTGGTTCGAAGAGATTCAACTGAAGTAGTCTGTAAGGTCCAAACTATGGGTGAAATTCGAGCCCGTACTTCATCTTCCTGGGCGAGCCTGCTCCCCTACGCCACCGAGGCTGCCTCTTATTCTCCCTACTTGGGGCCTCTGTACCATGACCCTGCAACAATTTTATCACGCTGTAAAAGTTCTGTGTTCTTCAAGAGCTATGCTTGTTCTCTGGAGTCTGCTTGCACTTGTGGTAGTAATGAGAAGCTTTTGCTGGTAGTAGAGGAATATTTAGATGGAACTGTGATATTCATTACTCATTGTTTTGAGACGTATTACGACTCCTGTAGGTTCAGAGACCATATGGTTTTTAAGAACGTCTGCAAAGAGGTTAATGAGTTCATGTGGCGTCATGCTGGCGGCTCACACCTGCACTATGTGAAAATTCGCTTTGTGGAAGTGATTTGGCCTTTGTAGTCGTCTTGCAAGCATGTGCGTGCTAAAGTTTAATTAGAATTTCACACGTGTGGAGTTAATGAAAAGCTGAACTGAACACGCTGTTGCAGTGGACTGTGAAAACAGCCAAAGAGCAAAATTAGTCCGGCAGCTGGGCCTCGAAATCGACGCGAACGACGTATAGTCAGAGCAGAGGAGTGGCTGCAGGGGAACACTCAACTCCTCTACTCCTCTGCAAACTTGCCGGTGGGAGCCTCCTTCACTAGCAGACCTTAGACCAATGCGATTTCTATTTCCTGAAAGGGGTCGGTCTTGCCTTTTCGCCTGTACGTGATCGGAGGAGGCTTCAAAGATTAAGAGTTCTGAATCAAGGGGATTGTGCACAGCTTTTTGACTACAGCGCGTGTTTCAGCATGAAGTTCGCTCGGTGTCGACGTTTCTGGCTGGAGACGAGAATGTGGATTCACGAAATATTGGCACGGAACATTGGCCATTGAAGTTGAATGTTCAGTTCTATGAAATCTCACCGGACAATTTTTACACGAAGGTAGTTAAAATATTTATTCTGCACAAGTCCGCATGGATGAACACTTGAGGGACCCTTTGTGCAGAACTGAAATTATTCAGTGGACGTGAAGGCTTTTGCTTAAACCTGAAAAGGAAGAAGTCCAAGAAGGGCGAACAAGTTCTGAGTTACGGTAATGTCAGTTCTGCAAATGGGTGTTCTTTGCAAGTCTACCCCTCCAAGTGCACTTGTCCCATTTTTTTCGAATTTAAAGTGTGGACAAATTTCAGGCGTGTATATTGACGGAGCGAACAGGGCAGGTTACTTGCTTCTTGAATTCTACCTACAATAAAGCAGAACTCACGGATGGCTGTGATTTGGGTCGATTAGGAAGTGAGTGGTTTTAATGCTCTACGCTTGTCTTGAACTATCTTGTTTTATGCATAGATAGCTTTCGCGGGCAACTGCTCTCGGTTGTCAACATCGTTGTTTAGCTGACGTAGAGTTATGATCCCTGCAAAAGATAGGGCGTGTCACGCGGCGCAGATTGGAGCGCAGCCGGGCGCCTTTTTTCATCAATGTTCCCAGCCTCAGCCTGCTACAGTTGGCGGGAAGTCTGCCCTAGCTGCGCTCCAAGCCTTGCCTCTGTCGTGTGCCCTATCAATAGCAGGGATCATAACTGTAAGTATTCAGTAGTAGGCAATAGTGTCAACAGAAACTGTCAGAACCGTCTGAAAAAGATATTGACAACCCCGAAAGAATCGTCGAAGTTACCATAAGGCTTAGAGACAGCAGAATGCCTGGGCATTAGAGAAATAAAATCACTGACATTCAAATACCATCACTTTGAAGTTGAATTTTCGGAGATTTTACCTCTTTAGTGTCGGAGTGTTTCGCTGTCCCGAAGATTCATTGTGATCTGAACATTGAAATATCACTTTCTTACTACATATTCTTTAGTGTCACCATCGTTGCCGATGATTTTACTGACTGTACTGATGATCGTGTTGTTTCTGGCGATCGGCGTTGGCATCGTGTTCCTCACTCATCACGTCTTTGTGCGAATCTCCCGTGCAGCGCGATCTAGTCGGAAGTTCCATAAGCAGGTGAGCTAGTGACTTGATGTGAATGTCATATCTCAAATCATACGAATAATCCTGAAAGCTTGACGCACTAGCGCATTTTTGCACTCTTCGTTTGGACCTTCTGCGTCAATACGATAATCCCTTGTTCTTCATAATGATAGGCCGTAAAGCATTTGCGTAGTATATCGGTTTCTTGGAATGAGTGTCATAACTTCAAAGAACAATGGTCGAATGTAGTGAGCCATTAAGCTACAATTGGTTTCTTTGCTAAAGTGAAAGTTCATTCCATAGCTATTCATGAAAAATTAGTTGCCAAGGCGTCTGGCTAGGAAAAAATGGTGCATGAATTAAA